AGGTGGCTGGAAATTAATTAACCAAAATATTAATAATAAAACCTAAACTAAGTAAAAATCTAACCTAATTACACCTACCCAACATCACGTTTCACTTTTCAGTTTCCCTAGCTCACGCCTCATTCTTCATTTTTCTTTTTCAACACTCTCCCTCTCATTATCATGCAAGTTACAGACCAACAAAGGATGCCAACTGCCGCTCTTCCCCTTCAACCACCATCGCTGTCACTCCTTCCTTTGAACACCGCCGCCGTCGCTCGGCCACCATAAACGTCGATTAACCACCACGATGGCCAAAGAGACCAAACAACACCTTAATCAACATAAAACACTTGTTCTACTCTCCTAACCTTTCTCTTCTCTGTTTTAACCCAAAAACAGACTAAGGCCAACATGCAAAACCCCCTACCCCTAAAGAGGATCGACTATTCAATTTCCTAGCCCGGCGGTAAGTCCCTGTCAACGAGATCACTAACAAAAGGTAAACTACTCTCATCTTTTCCTATATTTTGGTTCGAATCAAAGAGATGGTTGCAAAGAAAAAACGTAAAAGTGAGACAAGAACTACCTCCCAAAAGAGATTACTTTTCTGTTGTAATCCTTTTGTTTTGAAAATGATGAGAATTTTACATGGGTTGTTTCTTTTTCTATTTTGTTCTGGTTTCGAGATAAAGAAAATATGGTTGTTTGAAATGCAGAAGAAAGAAAACATTTCGAGAAGTTTTGTTGTGTATCTCTTTGCTACAAATTTTATAGGGGGACCAAATATGGAGGAGAAGCCTTCCTTGCTTTCTACTTTTCTTTCCCAATTTCCCTGGCGCCCTTACACGCTCTCAACCAGCACTGTTGCGTGATGAAACTACTACCAGCCGAGCTTTTCCTAAAACAAATTTCAATCTAGACCCGAAGCATAACAGGTATATCGAGACTAACGTAATATTTCTACTTGCTTCGAATAAAAAATGACAAATATGCGTGCTCAGTATTTATAAAGTATAAAGAAGATAACCTGCTTGTATTGATTCTACTGCTTTTCAAAGAGTAAGCTGAATTCTTTGTTTCACACAATTGATCTTTGAATACGGCAAAGAAATATCTTACACACACTGTTTTTGTTCCTGCTCTATTGTGTAAAAAAAATAAAAATGAAAAATGGTCCCTCGTCTCTCTCGTAATGGTAATGAATTATTGATCTCCCCAGTTCTTTTTTTCGTTCCTCTCTGTATATGTGATCGTTGATCTCTAATCCTCCCCCCCTTTTTTTTATGATGAATGGTTATTTCCTTTTAGTTTTCAGTAGTTTATCCCTCCACTATCTGATCATATCAACTGCTAAAACCAACGTTAATTTCTTTTCTCTTATGCATGTAATTGCTATCCATTGGGCTTGAGATGGGCCTCCAGTTGGTTTGAACTCATTTGGGCTCTCACTGATCCACACTGTAACTTGTACTGGATCTAAAACTCGAACGAAGCCCCCCGGATGAAATCGAGCATCTACACACATCACAGATTTTCTCAATAGAAATCGGGTTCATAATGTTATGTCCACCTTACTAAGTCTTGGTGTAATACCCAAAATTTTTGTTAGTGACAAAATATATGTTTTGAAAGTTTATGGCTAAAGAATAAAATTTGAAAAAGTTTAGGGACTAAAAATATAATTTTGAAAAGTTATATATATTTTAGCTTGTAAATGAACCGTTTGTCCTAAAACAAGAATTTTCGTGGGAATCATAATTTTGGTACGAGATTTACATTAAAAACTATAAATCAATAAAGTTCGGTATAGAAATCGAATAATCTAATTATGCCGGAATTTCACGAAAATTTGAAGAATGTTAGATAAGGGTTGGAAATATTATTTCAATATTTTAGATAATTGAAATTTAGCAAGGAACAGTGAAATTGAAGTTAATTTTAAGATTTGGCCGAACAGTGAGAATTTAGTTACTAAAATGTAATTTTTGAAAATTACATAGCCAAATTAGAAAGTCAAAATCAAATTGGTTCATCTTTCACTATGGAATATTTCAATGGATGATATTGGAATAAAATATGGTAATTATCATGATTCACTAATGGAAAAATTGTAAAACTAGAATTAAATGAATTTTAAATTCATTTATATTATTAAGCCATGTGTATTATGATAATTAAGTTGGAAAATTCAAGAAAATTATTGTCTTCTTCAATCTCCAAGCTGTGGGTTTCATGGTAGGTAAGGTAAAATATTGATTTTTGGATTAAGCTATTAGATGGAGAATTAATCTATATGAAATTCTCTATCATTTGGTATAAAAATTTCATAGTGAACATGCTTACATGATGAGATTGGAAATTAGAGTTTATGAATGACTTGTTGATTTTGAAGATTTGATGGAAGATTACTATGTTATTAATGTTGTGGATTAATTCTAAGACATGTGTGCTGATTAAAATCAAGTATAAAGCTATGTATAAGGTTCGTCCATAACCTAAGGTTTTGGGAAGTTTGTTGATTAAATTATGTTAGGGTTTTAAATGTAGAAGCTTTGAAATGTTGATTAGAAGTGGAATTCATGCTTGAATCAAGTGAAAATCAACAAACCCTAACTCTATAGCATTCTACCCTAAGGAAAAATTGGGGGAAAGTTATGAAAAATTTCCCTAGCCTTAGAAATGATGTTTGGAAGATCCTACAAACTTTATAAAGTTATTTGGACCAATCTATAATTTGGTGAACGTTAGGGGACCTATTCAATAATTATGAACAAATATGGGGTTGTTGTGTAATTGTTCAATAGTTGTTGTACTATGGTGAAATTTAATTTTAGAATGTTGAATTTGGTGTTAGAATGTGAAATTAGATCATTTTGGAAAGTTGGTAAAGTTTGAGGACTAAATATCAATTATGGGAAAAGTTAGTGACTTAGGTTGAAATGGTGTAATTTGGGGTATTAAAGGCTGAAATTTAATCATGGAATGCTGATTTTTTAAGTTCAAATATTTGATTGAGATCAAATTGCAATTTTACTAAAGTTGATGATATAGTTCGAAAAGACTAGGAAATTTAGGATGAAATTGCAAGTTTTCAATTGAGAAAGTAATGAATTGAGCATGTTATTGTTTTCTGGAAAATTTAGTAATTAATTAAAGGTGATCATAATGATGAAGGATCATTATGAATAAAATAGAAAAATTGATATGAATTCTAAAAAGAATTCATAATTAGTAATTTGATTGCAAAAATTTGAAAAGTTGAAGGGTTGGTGATGGAACTGAATATTTATGGAACGGAGTGTTCATTTTGGAAAGTTTAAAGTTATGATGGAATTATGATTTAGTTTTATATCGATTTAATATCGATTATGTTTTATAGAAATTATTTTATCGAAATTAGATTATGTTAGTATAATACTAACATATGTATTGGGTATTGTATTATTTTATGATAATGTTCATACCACGAAAAATCTAGCAATCTAAGTTGTTCGAAAAAAATACGGGATTGAAAATAGTACCGTAGAAAAGGTTATGTAGTGAGGCAAATGTCAGTGCGTATTTAATTTGTATTAATATTATCAAACAAACATTGGTTTGCGATACGCCAGTGACAGAGTTATAATGGTAAGGAGTGACTCCTAAATATTACGTGATTTGTGCTTCATGCATATATATTCATTTGGTAAGTTAATAGACTTAGGAAAGAAGGTAAAGATGCTAATTAAGGAAAGTTCACTACAAGAAAATATACCTTTAATGACACACGAACGATGACACATGCTAATTTATGACTTGCAAAAAATGTGTGTCATAAAAAAATGTCATGTTTTTTAAAATCTGAACATTTATAACTAACAATAATGTGTGTCATATTTAATAGTCATAATCCAAAAAATTTGCAAAAACACGGACTACACTTTTAATTGTGTGTCATCTGTAAAAGTCGTCTTTTAATTTCCCCCCATTATTTTCATCATTTCCCGCTTCTTCCCCCCTCGATTCATTGTTCGCACCTTCCCAAATGCTCTGACTCATTGTTTGCAATTCTTATGTTGGTAAGTAAAACCAAAACTCTTTGATTCTTTCAACCTACTTGAACACAAGTTCATGCATCACATATTTTCATTGCAGCAATAACGATGTTCTTCGTGATTACTTTCCTGTTCTTCAGTGGTCTTCTCGGTTTCTTCGGAGGACTCGCGTTTCCACCAACAACATACTTCGTAATCTGGGTTCTTTTAATTTTGACGCACTTTCAATTTGTTAGTTGTTTTCTTCTTTTGAATGCACAAAAAATTCTGGGAAATCTGCATTTTTCTATTTGGGATTGAGGAAAGTTTTAACTTGAATATCAATTAGCTTGAATCATAATATGTTGCTGATTTAGTTGTGTTGTTTTCTGTTGCACGAGCAAAGTTATTGATTTATAAGTTTAAGTCCCATGCTTGTGTGTGTTGTTGGTTTTCAATTTGTTGGTTGTTTTGTTCTTTTGAATGCATGCAAAATTCTGGGGAATCTGTATTTTTCTGTTTGGATTGAGGAAAAGTCTTAACTTGACTATCAATTAGCTTGAATCCAACTTATTTTGTTGTTTTTCGTACACGAGCATAGTTATGAACTTCCATGTATTGTTGATTTTCAATTTGCTAGTTTAGATTTAATGCTAGATGTTACATGCTTAACCATAATATATATGTATGTATATGATATTGTTTACATGCTTAGGTGCAGTGGCAACAAAAGTGTCACCTGTGGCAAAAGAAACCCTGTGGGAAATCAAAAGGCGACTTGTTGTCAGTTACATCTTCAAAGGAATGGGATGAAAAAACAGGTTTTGATATCAATGAAAATGAGTCGACTGTCAGTATCACGGTGGTCGGAGCTTCCAGGGATCTTGCAAAAAAGAAGATATTCCCTGCACTTTATTATGAAGGTTGTCTTTCTGAGGTCTGTTTCGCATTAATATCGTCTTCTAAACTACTTGAAACTTTGATCCGGAGATTGATGTAACTTAATTTGTGCTTGAAAAAATGTGGGTTAATTTTGTTGCAGCACTTTACCATCTATGGATATTCGAGGAGTAAGATGACTGATGCGGAACTAAGGAATATGATGAGCAAGACCCTTACTTGTAGGATCGATAAAAGGTGAATTGTTTTCCTATCTTTTGTTTGCAACTTCAAGTTCATAGGCATCCGATTGCAGATTTCATTGTTTGTTTCTTTTAATTGATTATTGAACTTATAAATGGGTGTGATATGTGAATCCAGGGAGAATTGCAGTGAAAAGATGGACGAATTTCTTAAAATATGTTTCTACCACTCTGGTCAGTATGATTTCGGGGAAAATTTTGCACAGTTGGACAAGAAGCTCAAGGAGCATGAGGTAATGAATTTTTTATCCGGTTAACGGGAATAATGAGTTAATGCCGACTTGTTATTTATAATCTCTTTACAATTGAATGTATTTGTGGATATTGAGGGTTTCAAGTTTCGACCGTTTTTTAGTTATGGCCCATGCAATAGTATTTTAAGTGCAAGTGTTCTTCAAAATCTAGTACCATAGGGGATTCTGCACACACCTTATTTATAATGTGAAAATTCAGTTCTTTTTGGTGACAATAAACTGCTAGTGCAGGGCGGGAGGGTTTCTAATCGCATCTTTTATCTCTCTATCCCTCTAAACATTTTATCGATGCCGTAAAATGTGCAAGCACGACAGCTTCATCTGGTAATGGTTGGACTAGGGTCATTTTCGAGAAACCTTTCGGTCGAGATTCAAAATCTTCTGCCGCACTAACAAAAGCGCTAAAACAGTACCTAAATGAGGACCAGATATTCAGGTACAATTTTCCTGCCTTCATTCGGGCTTGATGTGCAGAGAATTTGAACCGCAAACTGATTCGATTGATACTCTTTCTACATGATAGATCACTATCTAGGAAAGGAACTTGTGGAAAATCTATCGGTTCTTCGGTTCTCCAATCTTATTTTCGAACCATTGTGGTCGAGGTAGTTTATTAGAAGTGTGCAATTGATATTTTCTTAAGATTTCAGAACCGAAGGACGTGGAGGGTAAACTTCCATCTTTTCACGATTTTTACTATTTAGCTAAAAGACAAAACAAGGATTCACATTCTTGTTTATAATGCTGGTCAGTTATCGTTAGTAAGAAAGATTGGCAGCATAGTTCTCATTGTAGTCTTTAGTTTCAATGGCTATGCTTATTTTTTCTAAAATGTGTAGGTTTAAGATGATGAATTTGCACCAAGTTCTAAAAATTCATCCTTTTTTCTAGTTTAATTATGAGTAATCGTATATTTTCTGTTTATAATTGGGACTGATTATTGACAATTTAACGAGCATATGAGAGGGTTTACATGACAACATATTGTGTATATTGTGACTGAAAGTGAAACTAAACTATCTTAAACCAAGTCATGCATTTCAGCTTAAAGAATATTTGTCTTAACATGTCGGGCTCTTTCCTATTATATAGGTTGTTTACTGTTTCTCAAACAGTTAGCACAAACTACTACTTCTGTGTTTTTCAATTATTTGCAAGGTTAGATTGCTCTATTACTTTCAAATATGTAGCAAATTTTGTCTGATGTTGCTTGTTAAGATAACTTTTGTTTCACATGACCAGCTGAAACTGTAATATACAGAATATATTACTACATGAATAGATCTCAGAATGGTCACCTTACTCTTAGGGAGTTGAAACGTGGAAACTTGATTGACGCGATGCTACATGCTGATCAAGAAGAGGACATTAATAAAGTTTTGAGGTAGGGACTTGGCTTGGAATAAGTAATTGCTTTTGGATGCATGCTTAATACATTCTGGTTGATACTGATTATTTTCACTTTGCAATCTCTCTTCTTCTATACTATATATACATGTACTTTTCATATGAGCACTTTTACGTGATATACTGCAATGCTCCTTCATATGAGCATTTTTCACTGAATGCTACTTCCTATACACTGCAAATGAAGATAGAATGTTATACATGTTCATCTATGTCACATTTGTAGGATGAGAGCTATGTCACATTGCGTGATCTGAAAGGCTCTAAACTTTTTGGAAGTGTTTTCAACATCCTTTTTAATCTTAACAAATTCATGGCCTTCGAGACTCGTGATCCATTCCTAATTCGTTAGGTAAATGTGTTACGTTAGCTCCTTTAATATTACCATTACCAGAAATTGTAAATCATCATACTTCTATGCAAGTTTCGGATAACAGCATTGTTTGTATCGAAACAAACAGGTGCGTGAGAACCCTACATTAACAAAGTGGGACCGATTTGTACATAGAGAATATATTAGACTTTCAATGGAAGATGATGTCGAAGATGCCTCTAATGGAAGTGCAGATGTTTGGAATGAATCGGTTGAGGCTCCCTTCTAAGTTTAATAAGGTAAGCTTGTCCAGTTCACATTGTGTTGTTTTGTTTTGTTCTGGCTTTTACCGAAACCAAAAAAGAAAAACAATAGTCATTTTATATCATACATACACATTAGTCATACAACTATCATATCATATGTGGCAATAAGAATGTAAGCAAACTTTTCTGATACACATCTGTCATATCTTACATACACATTAGTCATACAACTATCATATGGACTTGAAGTAGGATGCTATTCTAAACAAATTAATGCTAGTACTTGTTAGCAAGACTGAAAATTGTGAATTCATGTCGTGATAATGTATATAATTTATATGGGAAGTTTTACTAATTAAATGTGTAAAATATTTATTTTTACATATGCTTCGAAGAATGCATATGTAAAATTGGTCATTTTAGTACTCTTTGATAGTTATATACTTCACTTTAAATAAGTATAAATTATATACTTATTTCACATTTTTTACTTAGGTTGGCGATGGGAAGGAAGAATACACGGATGGTGACAATGATGATATTCGCAAAGAATGGGTATCTTATGTGGCAAACTTTATTATGCCGTGATATTTTGTATCGACATATGATTACAATATTTTTTATAACTTAATATGAATATATTGTATGCAAATGGATTGCTTATATATAATATGATATATATATTTAGTATTATGAGGCATTAAATGTGATTTAGTTTGATTATTTGTCAATCTAAAATATATATATATATATATATAATTTACGAAATACAATCACGACACACGAATGCGTGTCATCTTAATTTATGACGGGGGCTTCAATGACACGCAATGTAAGTCATACATGCGTGTCATTAATTTATGACACACAAATGTGTGTCATATTTATTTATGAAGGGGGCTTAAATGATGCTCAACGCGCGTCATAAATGAGCGTCATAAATGCGTGTCATAAATGTCATAGATTTATGACACGCAATTGCGTGTCATCTGAGATTTATGTTGGTGGATTTAATGATAGGCAAATGCATGTCATAGATTTATGACACGTAATTGCGTGTTATCTGAGATTTACGTCGGTGGCTTCAATGACAGGCAAATGCGTGTCATCTGCACCCATAGATGATGCGCAATGAGCGTCATTAAAGGGGTTTTTTCTAGTAGTGGTTGCTTAGAAACTATGATATGAATAGTAAGTTTAGAGAATCATTATAATTGTAAAAAAGTAATTAGAGGATGATTTTTATATTGTTGGATGCATATATCAGTCTAGTTTCGTTTAAAATAAACGACTATTGATTTCGAGGAGTATACAAAAAGATATAAAATTTTAATCAAGGATGGGTCAGAAAACAAAGCAGCAAATTCTGCTCAAAATTAGCTTTTGTAAGTCAGTTTTGAAAATTCACTATAAACTTTACAAATTGAACTAGAAGAAGTGCCTTATATGATTAGATTCGTATTCAAGTCTAGTTTACATTGGTACAAACAGAATAATTTTTAAGTGTGTAGATTAATACATAATAATACTTCTTTGAAGGTATTGTAAACTGCAAGAATATGAAATTGTGATAAATTTCATGATCGAAGCAAATAGAAAGCAAAGGATCAAGATCAAAGCTTAGTAAGACTTATATTTTGACTTATATATATATAAAGTATCAATGCGAGCGCAATTTATTTATTTAATTATTCTGATCAAGGATGACTTGCGATAAGTCAGCCTCATATTATTTTAAAGTATGTTTTCTATTTTAATTATGGAATATTTTCGTAATGTTTTTATAAAGTTTTATGAATGGTTTAGGGTATGAATTTCCCAAATTATGATTTTTTTGATAATGATTAGAAAATGATTATGCATTGGAATATTGATTTATAAATGAATATAATATGATATGGAAGCCTATTGTATGTTGCATTGAGAGTCGTAGTGCAACATCCAAAAAAACAGGGCTAGTGACTAAAATGCAATTTCTAAAAATATTATGCTTAATTTCAAAATAAGTTAAAAGTTTAGGGACTTAATTGGAAATATTTTGTAAAGGATGGTTTAGTAAAGATTGAAAGAAAGAAGGGTAAAATGATCATTTGACAAGAAAGATTTTTATCTTTCTTTTGTAGGCTATATAACATGTGGGAAATGAAGGTTAAAGGCAAAGTCTCCAGAAAACTCTCATTTCTTCTTCTTTCTCTTTACCGTGAGAGCCAAAGCAAAGGTGGGTCTTCTTATTAGCTAATTTCTTATTAAATTTTAGGGTTGATTATGATCCTTGGATAATACTTAAGCTTAAGGAAAGCTTAAGTCATCTTAAAATCAAGGAATGAAGAAGTTAAGAGAGATTAAAGTTAAGGAGTTTTTAAGTGAAATTTTGAAGATGAGTTGATAAGTTAAATTTGAAACTAAATTTGACTTGTCAATGGTTGAATTAAGAGATATGAAGTAATAGAATTGAATTTAGAACATGTTGAAAATTGAGTTTAATTCTTGAATTCCATGAGGTGTATAGGATTTTGAGGTTTAAGATGTGATAAATGTGTATTAATGAGTTTAAACATGTGTATGTGAGTTAAGAATATGATAGGGGATGAAACATGAAGTGTTTAATTTGGAGTTATTTTCGGGCTTAAAAGTGAATTATGGGCAAGGCGGTATTGATACCCATTCATCAGGTACCGATACCTCAAGAGTAAAAATTCAGGAAGACATTCAAAGGGTACCGATACCTTAAGGATGGTATCGATACCCCTTGAAATGAAAAATTATCGAATGTAATTTGGGTATCGATACCTAGACAGTGTATCGATACCTCAGTGAAGGGATGTACCGATATCCTATAGAGGTACCAATACCCTTGCAAGAGAAAATTGAGATTTACTCTTTCTTATATCTTAAGAAATTAAGGATCAAATTATAATATTTAGAATGCTATTATGTATACATGATTGTGTAGATATCGATCGAGGGCAAAGTCTGGACAAGTTATAAGTAATAGTCATCGAGAAGAGATAAGGGTTCGGTATTGACTAGTAAGGCCAGGTGAGTGCATATTATTTAGTATATGACGTTTAATGGGAAATAAGACTTGCAATAAGTATATTTGTAATAGTAAAAATGCATAAAAGTATGTGTTTGTTATGATTTATATGTGTGCATGAGTATATGTGATAACATGTTACTATGTATGTTACATGATTTATATAAGTATATGTTAGTGTGATAAGTCATGTGAAACAATACAAATGATCTATATGATAATATAAGAATATGAAATAAGCTATGCGATAAAGACATAAGGAATGAAATGAACATGTGACATAGGCTATAAGCTAAAGAATTATTTGATATAAATATATATGAACATAAGATAATCAAGTATAAGTTATATTATATGGTATAAGGGATTATACAAGATTATATGAACATATAATATGA